ATGGTGCGCATCGCTCCCCTTTAGGATTAGTAAATTGACAGATCCATCCATTCATCCACCCATCCATCCATCCATCCATCCATCCATCCATCCATCCATCTGATAAATCGTCACTTATCAGTTATTATGTGTAGGTACCGTGCTAAGCTCTGTAAAGCTGTAACTGTGACAAAGACAGCTCTGTCCTTCACAGAGCTCACGTGATCATGGGGGAGACATATAGGTTACCAGAGAGCCAAATTCTATGGACAAAGTCCGCTGATAACGGCGGAGAGTGTCACATTGTATCGCAGAGGACAACTGTTGGGAAGGGTTATAGAAGATCCCCCGGAAGAAGGGAGACCCGAGCTGAGAGCAAAGGAGTCAGCAAGAGAGATAATGGGACACACAGGAAGGGAAGAAAGTCCACGCAGAGGAAACAGCAAGTGTCTCACGAGACACGATCTGAATAAGAAATGGTTCAGACAGAGGACAATGGCGTGTGTGTGCCCACGCGCGTGTGTGTAAGGCCAAGAAGAAGTGAGACAGAGGGTGGAAGGAGCAGTCAGGGGCTAGAGCGGGAAGGCCTTGTGAGGAGGCAAGACTTGATTTGGAGGGAGAGGAGGAGGCTTCGAAGGGTTTCGACACGGCCATGACGTGATCAGATGGGTGTTTCTGAAAGATCACTCTGCTGGCTGGGTGCGGGGACAGTGGAAAGCAGGCACAAATAAAAGCAGAAAGTCGGGAGGCGAGAGATGATGGGGACATAGACCAGAACGGTAGCAGTGGAGACGGAAAGAAGTGTTTGGGTTTGGGGGGGGGATTCAGGATGTATTTCCCGGGCCCGCCAGGCTGGCAGCTACCTCATTACATGCTCTCTGAACTCCCTGGAGTGTTCCTTGTGTGCCCTCATCACGGCTTGTAATTTTCCACAAGCTTGTGGGATTATCATTTCAAGTCAACACCGCTGCCCCGCCGTAAACGCCTTGACAGCAAGGATTTGTCTGTCTGCTTGGCTCGCCGCTGTACCCCCACACTCAGATCCTTGCCTGTCCATCGTCTTGCAGAGGCTCGACAGATATTTCTTAAATAAATGAATAAGCGAATGAGTGAAAGTATCCCTCTCTCTATCTCAATAGGACTTACTGGCGGATTGGAAAGATGCCTCCCAGTTTCTGACTTGAATAATTGTGGAGGGAGGTGGCAGTGCTGTTCACGGAGATGGGGAACATTGAGGGAACAAGTCTATGGTTTTGTCCTGCCTTGGTGCCGCTTCAGCCTAAACCGTGGGAGGCAGGTTTAGAAAGCGGTCATCAAAGACTGTGCAATTTAATGCAAAGACCCTGCAGATAATCCTAACCCTTGGCTCCCTCCTTTCCCCGGGTCCTGTCATCTCCACAGCATCTTGGGAGGACTATTAGTTTCCAGGAAGATTTTGTCCAACCCCAGGGGCCAGGCCACCTGCCATTCTTAGGAAATTTGGTTTCTAGCTCCCTCTGCTGGCAGAGCTGGAGATGACGCGTGGCTGGTGGCCGAGCTGGACGCAGCACCCTACCTCCTGCTTCTTCTGGGACAGACCCCTCTCACCTCGAAAGAGGCGACGAAGACCTCAGCCCCGGTCCCCTTTTCCACCTCTTAAAAAACCCCACCCCCTTTAGAACTCTGGCTATAAATGGGGGAAGCCTAATTAGGTATATGGCGATGGAATTAAATTCTTGCTACTTCCAAATCGCTTTCTTTCCAGCCCAGCCTGCGGGGGGCGAGGAACCTACGTTTGATTCCTGTTTCTGCCACTGATTCAGGGTGTCACCTTCGACCAGTCACTTCCTTCTTTCTCACTGACAATCCCCTCACTTGTGACACTGAACTGGACTCCAAAAAACCATTCCAATTCTAAGGTTCTATGCTTTGCCCCAACCATTACCTTAGCCTTTTCAGTCCTTCCCACATCGACCTCTCTCCTGCCTCAGGGCCTTTGGCCATGCTTCTCCCCCTGCCT